CCACGTGAGCAACGCCTTTTGGCCCAGAGTTGAGCCACGTCCTTGGGGAGCCGCCCAGACGGCGGGGGTCCTGGCTCCGGGGCGGGCTCCGGAGTGCTCGGAGCCAGGGGACATAGTTTTGGAAGGGGGGAGGCTTGGAGACCCCCCACCCCACCCCTCCTGCTGAGTACCAGAGCCGCCGCAGACTTCTCTGGGGAAAGGTGCGGAGACCCTCAGGGTCCTGCCCCCAGGGCGGCCTCTTGATTTAGCATTTGATCTTGGACGTTTTGAGCTCCTTCACCTGTGAGTGTAGCGTCTTGTGGACAGCGAGAGTCCTGGACTGACAGAATCCTTTGCCGCATTCCTGACACTTGAAGGGCTTCTCTTTGGAGTGGATATATCTGAAGGCAGAAAAAGAGAAAATATTAAGGCTTACAAAATGAGACAACGTCACGAACTGCTCATCTTCGAGGGAAATGAGGCTGCGGGGGTCACCGGATGCAGAACGGAATGAAAAGCTGTCTGTCACTGAGGTGGGAGGTGGGGCTCTAAAACTTGGGCCACAGAATGAGTGAGGGGACCAGGGAGGTGCTGGGATCTGGCAAATCCCTGAAGCAGAGCTGTCGAGGACACTAGCCACTTAGCCACTGGCCAAGTGTGGTTATTCCCATTTAAGTTAATTCAGTGAAATAAAACTCTAAATCCCATTTATTAATCGCACTAGCCACATTTCAAGGGTTCGCAAGCCGCATGATGCTGGATGGCGTATAAGCTCTGACACAGCGCTGAGGACCCAGGAAGAGCCAGGAAACCCGACTTCTTTAAGAACTGACCGAGGTCCTAGGCGCCCTATCTTTCCTCCACCTATGCTCCAAGGACCTCACCCTAAGCCACACGTGTTTCCTTTCCCATCATCAGTTGAGAGAATCCCCCTTCCCCCTCCCCAAACTCTGGAGCCAGTGGCTGTATCTTGCACCTCCTCCTTACAAAGCCGGGCAGTGAGGCCAGAGAGCGGCAGACCTAGCCCTTTCTGGGATCACCAGCAGTACCGCACCTGTGATCCCTTAGGTGGTCTTGTCTCCGGAAGGCTTTGTGGCAGATGTCACAGGTGTAAGGCCGCTCATCAGTGTGCGTGCGCTCGTGAATTAGTAGGTTGTAGGACTTGGTGAAGTGACGGCCACAGAACTTGCAGACGAACTCCTTCTTGGTCTTGGAAGGCAGGCGTCCTCTCGTGGGTTTCTTTTCTGGAGACAGCTTGGTCACGTCCAGGAGGGCCCCCAGCCCGCCCGCGGGGGAGCTGGGGCCGTCCCCTCTGCCAAGCTTGGACGGGTCTTCTTGAGTGGCGGCCAAGGCTAGGTTGGCGAAATCAAAGCGCGGCTTGGTCTTTAGTACCGCGGGGCCGCTGCCTCCAGCGCTGATGTCAGGCTTGGGGTGGATGACATGAGGGAACCAGGGAAAGGCCGGCAGCTGGAAGCGTGCGTCCACCAGGCTGGATACAGCGCCAGGCACTTTGGAGAAAGAGGACCGCGGCAAGTGCATAGCTGGGTAGCCCAGTGTCCACTGGTGCAGGTGCACTGCATGCAGCGCACTGAAACCATACAGGTTGGGCAGGTGGTCGGTGGGCACCGTGGGCAGGCCATTCACTGCCTGAAGGAAGGAATAGTTGGTAAGCTGCAGGGACGGGTGAATGGGCACTGGCGCTGGCAAGGTTTTGCTGCCCATTGTGGGAGCTGAAGAGGGTTTTCACAATCTTGATCTGGAAAGGGAAGAAAAGGAAGACGGGGAGGGGGGAGAAGTTCAGGGTAAGTCACTTTCCTCCTGATTTCCAGCCCAGTTATGCCCTCTGCTCCCCACCCCAGGACCAGAGCTGGGAGTCTAAGACCCCTCCCAAGGAATACACCTGTTCTCAGAGAAGGTGGGGGCATAAAATGCAGGCGTGCGGATGCTGTTCCAAATTCTCCTGCCTCCCTCCAAGTGGTCTCTGGTAGAGACAAGCTACTACAAACAGAAATGAAGAGAAAACTAAAACCCATGCGATGCAACCCGGGCTGAAATGTGAGCCTCTTATAAGAAAAAGCACTAGCATGGGAGAGCTGGTGTGAAGAAAAAAACCCAAACAACTTACATTCACCCAGCCTAGGTCAATGCAGGAGTAGAGTCCCCTACAATGATAAACTTTCAAACACACTTCCACATTCAGGTGCAGATCTACAAACATTCACACAGATAAAACACAAATTCACACATTCTGAATGAGTTGACAACAAGGTGCAAAGATAAATGGACACAACTGATATGTAGGAGCACAATGCTGGCTACAAATGCAGGCGGACACCATCTCTCACCTAGAGGATATAGCTCATTCCCAAAGGACATACAGCATACAATTATTTACTCCTCCGGGCTTCCACACCGCAAGTCCTCCTGGCTGTCCTTCAGGTTGACGTCCAGAAGCCATGCCATGTGCTCCTCAAAGCTCTCAACTTTGACCTCAAATTTGCTATTCTGCCGATTAATGATCCACATGGAAACCACTCTATCCACAGTGGCCTGCAGACTGACCCTACCATAGCAGCCCTTGGGGATCGGCTTTCCTTTAATCCAGCGCATTGACAGCCACGTTAATTTACTCTGTCATCTATCTGTAGCCACATAGAAGGGAGCCGAAATGCCTTCCCTACTGTTTAGACAGGGGGAGCAGGATCTTTGGGCTCCTGGGGAGGTTCCTGGGTCTAGATCTTGGTCAGGCTAGAAGGTCAGAGGCCAGGTCTCAGTTGCTGTGAACCATTAAAGACCCAGTTGGAGAACTTGCATAAGACCAGAGGGAATCCATCTAGAAGGGACCAGGAGTCTGGCATGTTCTGGTCTCCCAGGTCAGGATCCCCAGCTTCTGTGGACCTGCTCCACAAAGAAACCTTTCATCCCATCCTTTCCAGGGATTCGCAAACTCAGGTCTGTCCCAGGGAGGAAAAAATAAGAAAGGAAAACAAAAAATAGGCAAAGAGCCTTGGAAGGCTCAAGATCTGACCTCCAGCACTAAACCTAAGGCCAGTTAAGTCACCCTGGGGGGGGGGGTCTTGGGGACTCAGAGCTGCATCACCTGGTCTTCTGATCCAGACTTTTTCTCTTCCTCTCAGTCCTCCCTTCCTTTCCTCAGGCCTCTTCTCTAACCTGGAGTAATTTCCACCCACTGTGAAGTGCAGGGCCCTCCTCAGCTCCCCACCCCCTTGGTTATGGTCCAACACCCATACCTCCTCAGGCAACTTCTCCAGCTTAGATGACCCTCGCAGCCAATGTCGGCAAAAGCCGTGCCCAGGCTCAGCTGCCTCTCCCTTCCGCGGGACTCTAAAAGTCCCAAAGGTGCAGTTCTATTTCCTGGGTGGAAGGAGTGAGGGCAATCTTGACCCGGGAAGCTGGTCTGCCTGGGGGCCACTCCTTGAGTCCCATGGAAGGACGCACCTTGGGGATTGGAGGTCGAAAATACCACCAGCCCTCAGGTTTGCCTGCGCAGTTTAATTTATCAATTGGATGAAAATCAAGTCTGACCAATGCAATTAACTCGGCCTCGGGCTAGGGGAGGCACGGCTCTGGGACTGGCTACTTCTCAACTCTTAGAACCACCCGTCTCCCCTGGGGACAAATTCAGAGCTCTGAGATTTTGTATAGCAAAATATTAATTGGGTCAAAGAGAATGCTGGGACCAGTTTCAGTGAGGGTGGAGAGCAAAGGAGGCGCCTCAACTTCAAAGATCTTCCCGAATTTAGGCGGTTGGGGTGGGAGAATCGCTCTTTGATTTGTTGTCACCTCTTCCAGACACTGGCAATGAGGTCCTCATCTTAGACTCCCCGGGGTTCCCGGGGCGCCACTGAGGCCTCCTTTTGCTTCTCTGGGTACTCAGCCGACCCCAGGCCAAGCCAGCGGCAGCGGCCACAGGATTCTCCTCTGCACACCCGGCCAGAACCCGCTCCGTGGTGTGCCGAACCCAGGCCAGAGAAGCGGCCCATCTGGAGAACAAACGCGGCCTTCCAGCCCCTACTCCCCAGAGAGACCAGGGAGGCTTTGTGCTCCTTAGAGGGGCTAGCAGTGATCTTGGCTCCTGGGAGCCAACCTGCCCGGGCTATCTGCCCAGTCTTGTTTCCCCTAACACTCAATTCATTTTCCTCAGCGGCCCAGCCAGCTTCTGCTTTCTGCCTCGTTCAAAGACCAGGACTCCACAGGCTCCTGCCAACGACTTTCCCGGCGAAGGAATCGGTTTGAAACCTGGCCCTTTACCCTACTGTCAAAACCGGACCGAATCCAGGCTCCGATTTCAGGAGATCAGCTACAAGGCAAACAACACACCCTTAAACTCGCTCATTTAGCAAAAGAGGATGGGTGGGCCCTCAGTCCCTTTGGCTTTCTTTGTCCTGACCCAAGAGCAAACGATTTCATTTTTAAATTCTACCTTTGAACCGCGCTAGCTTCGCAGGCCTGGTAGTCACTTCTAGAAGAGCCCCGGGCTTTGGGACTTGGGAGGCGCAAGTACAGTGTCCCGGCTAAGCGCAGCAAACTCATTTCGCGCAACCAAGTTCCAATCCTTGCGCGGGGCAGACACCAGTTTCCCAATTGTGGCTCTGCCTACAGCCCAACGCCGGGCATTAATGAAGTGTGCCGAGTCTATTAAAGTGGTTTATTCGGGGCTAATTGAGCGTGAGCGAGTTAACTGCTTGCATTAATGAGGACAGGAGAGCTCCCAGAGCTTATGCCTGGAGGAAGCCAGCAGCAGCCCAAGAAAATCATCCTACACTTCGAATCCCCAACACAAGCGGTGACAGCTGTCCAGACTCCTGGCTGGAGGAATGACCAGCACCGGAAGCATGTCTTTACAGCCTCCCAACGAAAGGCATCGAAGGAAGCCCCAGGCTAGGAGGGCATCCCTCTGCCCGCTGCGATCTCAGTGATCTGCTCCCTTAATCTTAATGAAACGGCAATTACTTCCAGGAATCTCAGATACCACATTTGCCTACTGCTGGTTCCCCAGCACGCACCAGCTCTTCCTTCCCTGGGAGGCTGTGGACCGGTGACTCTCCTTGCACGTGGTTTCTGCTTCCAGGAGCCAGTGAGCAGATGTAATACCAGGTGAAATTTCGCAAATTATGTTAACAAAGAAATCTTCACAACTACTTTGTCCCTCCAGGGTGCCCATCACTTCTGCTGAACGGGGGCTGACTGTGGGCTTTAAGTCCTACAGAAGGCTTGCAGGGTGAGGGGTGGTCATTAGATCAGCCACCCTCTGCTTCCCTGCTCTCCTCACACTCCAGCCTTCCCTCCAGAAGGCTAGATGGGGCAGCAAAGGCACCCTTCCCTCTTAGACCCAGCCTGGAGAAAACCGGGGCTGCAAGCGTCCACTGCGGGGACCCGCGGGTTGCGAATCGGAGAGCAGGGCTCTCGCCCCCGCCTGCCTCCCCTCGGCGGGACACGGGTGGGTTATGCGCCAGGCCTTGAGGACACAACCCCCCACCCCCACCCCCGCCTTCCAATAGAAGACACCCTGAAGTCCAGGTGCAAGTGTCAGCCAGGCACCAGACTCCTGAGCCTGCACTCCCAGGTCGAGCTGGCCTGCTCCCGGAACATAATTCGGTTAGAGACAAAGTCTCCTGGAAGCACCTCGCGGCAGGGGCAATGCACCTGTCCCTGGCGCGGTAGGCTGCAGCCCCGGCCATCTCTTTCCCTTCTTCCTCCCTGGAAACAAATCGGCCTGAATGAACTAGGACGTCCGTCCCAGGAAAGTTTCAGCCTGCCTTAGTTGCTCAGGTTTCTTAAAGGGAGGGCGGCGGGGGAGTGGGCACCAGCCGCGGACTACCGGAGCCCGCCGCGGTCCCTGTCCCCGGAATCCGCGGGGCCCCGGCTGTCTGCGGCGGTCTCTGCGCTCCATCCCCGCAGGTTGGAGGCTGCCGTTCCCGCGGGAAGTCCCCAAGCCAACACTGCCAACCATCCCGGGTTGCAGAGGCTCGCCCTGTCCCAGGGGTCCCTCCGCCCCCGTTGGTCCAGCGGAGTTTCCTGGTGGGACTTGGAGGGAGAAGGCAACCGCCGCGCCGCGCCCGGACCCGGGAACCCTGCTCGCGCTCCCAGCGCAGAGCCGCGGCTCTCAGGGCCGCAGTTACCTCGGTTCGCGGTCCGGGATCTGAGCGCGTCGGGGGCGCCGATTGCGAGGGACCCGGGAAAGCAGAGGCGCAGGAGTCCAGAGGCAGCCCGGGAGAGCTGGCGTCCTGGGCGGCCCGAGTGGCGCCGGGGGACTGGCAGCGCTCGACGCGCGGGAGCGCTGCGAAGGACCGCAGCTGCGGCCGGGAGTCCGGCCCGCCTGGGGACGGGGCGCGTCGTTCGCGGCTCCCTTGCTGGGTCTGAACCGGCAGCGGCGACGAGAGCGATCTGGAGAGAGGCCGAGCTCCGACTCACTCATCGCTCAGGGCCGAGCCGCCTACTTATTTTAAACCGCCACCCTCCCACCCCCTACCCCCACCCCCCGACCGCCCCTCACCTCAGGATTCCTCCCCTCCCTCCCCTGCCCCCCAAGCCTCCCGGCGCCGGCGCCTGCGCACTGAGAGACAAAGTTTTGCTGACCCCGGTGGCCGATTTGAGCAGCTTCGTTCCTTTGGTCCCGGCCTCCCCAGACCTCGGTCCCCTAGTCTCCTGCACGCCGCGACCCATTCCTTGTGATTCCAGGCGAGGAGGCCACGCCTGGCCTGCTAAAGACGCCAAGCTGCAGCAGTTGGGAGCGCGCTCATCGGAGGTCTGATTCCAGCCACCACTAGAACACAGTCTAGTTAGAGGTGGGATGCTCTGGGTCCCCCATCTGCTTTCCATAACTTGGACCCCAGGACACTTGGGTTCCTGATAGAATGGCTTCCTCTTGGATTCTTTACGGAGAGGTGGGAGGCCGCAGGGAGCAGGTCCGGGACATCCCAGCGTCTACAAACGGTAACCAAGGTGGCCACAGCTGGTTCCTAGGGTAGCGGGGTGGGAAGGTAGAGTTACAGGCCTGTTATGCCGAGTGCCTTAGGCAGCCCCCAAATGCTGCTTGATGGTGGTGGTGGTGGTGGGGATCTGAGATAAGGAACGTGTTTCCCTGGGGAATTCCACCCCAAAGCAAATGCCACCTCTACTCCGTATTCATCTGCTTGGGGATGATGGGTGGGAAGAGGGGCAGGAGGCAGTCTTCCAGGCTTGTCACTTTCGAAGCCCAGGGGTCTAAGAAGGATCAAATTCCTGACCAGCCCCAAATCTGTCACTGCTGCCCATACTATATCTAATAAGAGGGTCCCAGCATTCTCTGGACTGCACATCTCAAGGAGCTGACCTCCAGCTGACCCTAGGTCTGACACCCTGCTCCCCCCACCCCCAATCCCTCCTACACAAGGTTCTAGGTTTGGAACACCAAAAGGCATGCGTTTCCTGGGGCTTGGGTGGGTACAGAGTCAGCCCTGGGTGGTATCCCAGAGTTGTTGCTGAGCGACCCCTTTGAGCCCATGGGACTGGACCTGGCCTGTGAGTTTTAACATACATTTTTCTTACCCCTGTTTTTAGTCCAGGGCCTCTTCGTAATTAAAGGGGGGCAATCATCCCAGACTTCAGGTGATGGGATTGTGGAGTTGGTCTCAGGAGACACTTGTATCTACCCCAAACCTTTCTGGTGGAATCTGGTCTCCAGCCCCTGGGTCCTTTTTGGTTTGTGTGGGAGCAAGGAAGAAGGGGCACCATCCTTGCCCCAAGGGACTGCCCTGGCCTGCCGCCTCATGCCCAAGAGTGGTAAACCGAGAGTTGTGCTGGCCTCTTTGTTGCACAACTGTTGCACTGCTGTTGGGGTGACAGGTCCTTGCCACCACCAAGGGTTCCCCAGAGCAGAAGGGAGTGAAGATCATTCCTCTCGTCCCAGGTTCCAGGGCAGCAGGTTTGAAAAACAAGAGAGGGCCTCCCTGGACATGTCCACACCGGACATTCCTGGATTCACTTCCTTCAGAGGTGCAAGGAGTTTGTGTACCTGTCTCCAACTCTCCTAGTAGACCGTGTCTGGGGGGTGGCTCTATTATCAGCTGTGAACGATTTTTAAAAAATATCTCCATAGAGCCTCTGGCTGCCCCACTGGGGGCGGGGTGGGGTGGGTGGGGTGGTTCAGAGCAGAGAAACTGGATGCCCAGGGTTTGGGGGATTTCTGGAAAGGCACTCCGGCATCCTACTCTGAATGTCCTGCAGTTTAACTGGCCTTCCTCCTTTATGAGGGAGTTTCAAAAAGTTTGTGGAAAAATTTCATTACCTTGTAATTCTACCTTTCCCTAAACAATTGAAAGGTCCCTCGCCATCCACTTGTCCTTCTTTTCTGAAACAGATGCTTTGGTCAACAAGAGTCTTCCTGAATTCCAAAGAGCTCCAAGTAGTAGGTGGGATCCCTGCAGGGCTCTTGGAGAAAGGACTCAAGATGTTAAAAGGAATGTGAATGCCTTGTTGTTAAAAGCTTGTTGAATGCCCACTTCTTCTATAAAATTGACCCCCAACTTGGCAAAACCCTGGAATTCTGGGGAGGAGCAAGGTGAGGAATCAGGGTGGCTCTGGCCTTGAAGGTCTATTCTGGGGTTAGTCTTCCTAGGAGGACCAGAGGCCAAGCTGTGGTGTCTTAAGGGGGTTGGGTGCACCCCTCTCACCGCCCAGACAAACGCTTACCAGGGGCTTCCAGAACCTTCCTCCTAGATGACCATGCACAACCCCAGGAAGTCACTGTCATGAAATTGGAGATTTACTAAGAGCTGAACACTCATTCACAGCATTCCTGTTCCCAAGGGATGAACCCCCAAACTCTGGTCTCCACAGGAGGATAAGCCCTTTCTGGGCAGGGCTGGCAGGCAGAGGCCCCCAAAGCTAAGCTTCTTCTGCCCCTACCCCCACTTCCCACCCCCCTGCTTCTCAGTTCTGCCTGAGTGTAGGTAGGGAGCTGCTGGGATGACCTCCCTCCTGGATTTAAGAGAAATTGGCCAAAGTCACAGCGCTGTATTTGGGACTTACATAGCTGGAGAAGGACTGGCAAGACACAATTTACCCAAGTTAGGTTCATTTAGGAATGTCAAGAACGTTTCGAATTTCTTAAACGCTCCGGTACCCCAAACCTTACAGTCCTTCCTTCTTCACCCAGTGAAGTTGGGAAAAGTTCGGTCTGGATCTCCATTCTATTCTTGGGAGCGCAGCCCCGCAACTCCAGCCTGAGCCCCTTCGCGTTTGAGGTGAGGGGTCCAGGCTGGTGGAAAATCCACCGCGGCGCCACGGGCTCTGCTGACCCACAGGCGCCAAAAGGAGTCTCAGAAGGAGGCTAGGGACCCAGCGGTCTGGAAGATCCGCGGCGTCCGGGCTCGGGCTCTGCTCACCAGCCCGGGTCTTGTCCTCCGGGTAGCGATCCTGGGCCAGCGGGTGGTTTCACCGTTGACAGCCGGCCCCCCGGGTGCCCCCAAGCGAGCCCGGGCTGACTGGGGTGGAAACCACCTTGTGAGCCTCCCCGCGCATCCCTAGCCAGACTCCTGCTTGTAGGAAAGAAAGTGCTCCAGCCTGTCTCTGGAGTGAAACTGAACAGCTTCCAGAAAATTAACCAGAATGTGCCTGATCGCTTTGGGGGTGGTGAGGGTGTTTGTTGGCTGAAAAGGGAGAGATCCCCGTGCCCGTTCCTCCACCAAACAAAAAATTACTTCATTCTTTTGCTTAGAAAAGGAATTCACTTCGCACACTGGAGTTTTTGCATCCAAAGCAAGTTTTCCTGTAACTACTTTGTAGACAATGGGGCGGGGGTGGGGGGTGGGATAGGGGTGGGAATGGGGAGGGAGTCCGCTCCCCAGCCTCCCCTTGCGCGAGTACAGAGCTTGCAAATAACCGGGAGATTTAGGCGTCCCTCTGTATTCATTTGGATGATGGATTGTAATAGCTCAATAGTTCCTCTGGAACCATTACGGTCAATCAGGTCAAAACCCAGCCTTGTTGGGGGGCGAAGGGGAACGGCTCAGCAGAGGGAGCGAGGGAGGTAGCAGGACTTCCACTCGCGCTGGTAAGGTAGGCACAACCCTCAATGCACGGGCGAACGGATGCCAGGTCCACCAGAACGCAAGAGCGGGTGTTTCTTACTGTCAAAGCTACAGACAAGTGACTCAAATCAAAACTGAAAGGGAAAGTGAGCGGTTTCTCCAGGCGGTTCCCGTTTGGTGAGTTCTCCCTGAGCGCCTAAGTATCTGGTCACCTCCTTGCCATCTTAGGAAGTGTAACGCCAGGACGTACCCCTGCTCCCTCAGCATATTGATGAAGCCCCAGGAAGCACAGGAGCTGAGTCAACTCGCAGCTCGCAGCGCACGATCACTAATAACGTGGAAAGACCGCAGCGCCTGCAGTGGCGAGGAGCACGCGTAAAAACAAAACAAAATGTGCGGACACAGCCCGATG